CATATTGTGCTTGACGCTCAAAGTAAATACGAGCTTGTCTATCGAAGTAACTCGCTCACCTTTTGCTATCAAGTCTTTTTGATATTCTGAGAACCAGTCATTTGGGATGGAAATATTTTCAGGTACCAAAGGAAAATCGTTGTGTTTGTTGTGCAAGTGCTGCGATAGTCCAAAGTCACTTCGAGAACGTAGCCTTTAGACGCCCTTGGGGAAATTTTCGAAATGTACTCGGGGTAAATTTGGTTACGTCTTGGACCCATCGAAAATGTTTAAAAGGCAAACGCTGGCTCATGGCCCAGCCGTATAAATTATTCGCGGCTAAAAACATGATGTGTGACGTTGGCTTATTTGGATCGTAGTGTTTTAATTCGGAATTATTCGCTTTGGCGTAGCGCTTAGCCCCTACGCTATAAATGCCGCCTCTTTTGGCTCTTTCGAAAAACAGATGTTTATCTATATTTGTCAAAAGCTCCAGTCCGATGCCAGAGTGTTTTAAAAGCGCGTCCCACGACAGCCCCGGCGAGGTGTAATAATTTGCTGGGTCAAGGCTGTAATGGTTTTTACAAACTTGGCGAAAGTTTTCAAATACGCCCGCCGGTAACAATAGCGTAATGTATCAGGGGTTCGGGAGTTCTTTTTTTTATTGTTACTTGTTTTAAAAAAATCATAATAAAATCTTTGGTTAATTTCTTTGTATTCAAGGTCTCGGAACAATTCTGAACGACAAATTTATTTCTACTTTTACATATTACAGAATGTATTAATTGTTCACGAAGATCTATTAAGTAAACTGGCTAGACATCGATAACATTAACTGATTAATTTCTTGTTTGTCAAAAACCTTTTGGGGCGCTGCCTGTTTGTTAACTTTAATCTTTAATGTAACTATTACATTATTTATCTCAAACTTCCATTAATAACAAAACATAAGATCAGCAACGACCATGTGGCACGACAGCTTAAATGTTTTAACCTTAACATTACTGAGAACTCACGCATGCTAACCCCAAAATGACATAAATGACTCGATTGTTCAAATCTGTAGCCTCGTTTCTGTTGGGGCTGATACGCCCCCTCCCGGAAGAAATCCTGAACTCAACAGACAGAACCAGCAAGTCCTTACTTGGTGGTTGCAAGGGGAGGTGAAAGGGAAAGGTTTTTCTTCGACAGACTGCAGGAAAAAGTCTGCTGATTTGCAGTGTGACCATGTGCGTGCCAGCGAGGCACCACTAGATGAAGAAAAACCGCATGTTGTTACGTTAACAACTTTCGGCCAAACGCATGCCTTTCGACGCGTGACAGAATCGTTGCAGCCAGTGAAAGATATCCGCCTCCAGGTGTCTCACGCATGGTAAGGGACCGTCTTGTTTATTATTTACTTTTACAATTTGACCACGGTGAAGGGACGGCCCGGCAAAACTTCGGCGATTGCGCGCCATAAACTAGATTAAATGTACGTATCGTTTAATCTTCATTTAAAATTTATTTCATTTTTCTTCATTTTCTCCCGAGCTACTTTTTCCGAAAGTGGAAAGTCCCCGAGGGAATTTCCCTTTTGTGTTTGGGACTTCACGTGGAAATCACGAGGAAGTCACGTTTTGGACATCTGGAGTTCTAAGGAAAGTCCCTGCTGGTCTGGGAAGTGGAAAAGAGGGTGAAAGTGTTTTTCTGTTGCTTTTTTACCCCGGTTTTTAAAATTGTGAAAACCGTCGATGAGGTATAGGAGGGGTTTTTACGAAAATAAAAAGTGGTCTTTAGAAAGTTGGTGTTTTGGGGTTTTTGAAAAAGGTCGATGAGGTATAGGGGGTTTAAGTCGATGAGGCATCCATGCTTTGAGGAGAAAAGGGTGAAAAGGCGAGCTGCTATAGAAGATACCGATCTCTACTACTCTAGGGACGTATCGATACATATGAATGTGGAGGCCTTTTTGGTCTGTTCCTCATCAGTATCCGTTTGCCGCATTTCACTCCTGCACGACTTCGTTCGATCTCTGAAACTATGCATATGGACTTGATGCACTCTGAAAACACACGCGGAAAGACTCCTTATAAATGTTCCGCATGGGCCTTGGAGCTGGACCTGGAGAGTTCTGTTTTCTTAGCAATCGAGGCTTCTTTGGTCCGAAGTGAACTTCGCTGGTTCAAGAACGATTAGTAAATACACGCCTCAAGGTCGTATCGCTTACCTGCAAATAAGCCTTTTGCGAGTTAAATTTGAATAAAAGCAGGTGCACTAAGTTATCCGATTCCACATAAACATGATAATTTGAATCCCCAGATTAAAGACACTTTTGCTATACCTCGTGTTTTGGCGCAAGCTTTTGCACAGCGACCACCATCTCTGGAATGGATTGGTTGTGCCCTTTTTATCCATTGAAAACAATGTTTTGTGCAAAGCATTTCTTACGTAACTAAGTAAAACCTTGCCCTGAATCAAGAGAAATGGTAAGAGTGTCTTTAGAATGGAGAAGTCAAATTGTTATGTTCATTTTCATGTGAATTTAAAGAACTTAATGCACCAGATGTTATTCAAATTGAACACACAAAAGGCTTGTTGAACACTCCCGACCAACGCAGCTCTTTTAAATCGAGGAGGGGATGCTTCTACTCACGGCGGATACGCACCAGTGTTCTGTAAAGGTTCTACTGGGCACAAGTGCTTCGAAGCGCTGCTCCGGATTCAGACACCACTTCCAAGTGGAGCCATCCATGTAATATTTTGCCAAGTTTTACAAAGAGGTGAAGAAGCATCGCCAATTCAGAGAAAAACGTTTAAAAATAAAAGTTTTGCTACGTTTTGCTCATGTGTAGGTCCTATGTGTCTTGGGGGCGCTTGAGAGCCCTTACACAGGAACCGATACCTCATAGTTTGTGTCACGATTGCAAAACATGCTTGATGGGGGTGGGGGTTCTGTTGAGAAATCTGCTTTAAAAGGAAAACGTCTGGTACTGTCTTGATCTGGCACCAAATTCAATACTTCCACTTTTCAGTTTATTTCAGTCTGATTGTTCTTTTTTCCTTTGTTCTGTCTTTTCAGCATGAATTGTTGTTACTTTTGTTTGTGTTTTTTTTATTAATAAGGTATTTCTGTATGAGACTTTCTTCTCTGAACATGCATTCTTATTGCCCATTTTTCTCAATTGTGTCTGGAGCCTAATTATTATTAGTGATTCGTTTATTAACCTATATAATACAACAAATATAATTTACAATATAGAAATAAATGTTGAGGTTAACCTTGAAAAATACTGCAATGAGGTGTTCCAGCGGGTTTCATGTACAGTGTTTCGTATGCTTTACTCGGGACTCTCTGACTAAGCCACAGGAGCGAAATCCGCCTCATTGACTTTTTCTCTGATACTTTTCTGTTGGTTATCTTCGTACTAAATCTTCAGACTTTCTTTTGTAATGTCTCACAATTGTGTTGACAGTCTTACAAAACGCCTGTTTGTTTTCTTGGACAGGTCAGCCAAAAATGTTTTTTCCATTTCCATTCAATGTTACTTAACGCCAAATCTCTTGTACGGCGCATGAATGAGCTCAAGTTAATGTTAAACCTCAGCGACATTCAGATTGCTGCAATTTCTGAAACCTGGTTCCCAGATATTGTTGACCCGTCCTACTTCTCAATTCCAGGCTACACTATTGTCAGCAAGCCTTGCACCAACAGGAGAGGAGAAGACGTCGCTCTGTATCTACAGAATAACATCCAGACAAGTAGTTTAAATTGGAACTCAAAACTCCTGAGGAACTCGAAATTGTGTAGGTGTGAGTCCACCCGCAACGACTCCTCCGCTCAATCTCAGGTTTGACAGTGTGCGTTATTTATCATCCGTCATCATCTCCCCATGACGCACTCATTTTGGTGCAGAGAAATAAAACAGCTCTTCCAAGGAAAATCAGGAGCTACAATCAATGAACCTGTTGCCTACATTGACTGGGGTGATAACGTTTCATGTTAAGTTGATCTAAACATAGTTTAAACACACATGCACCTGTACTCACCTGGTAAAATGTATGCAAGCCTCCAGGCTGAAGTCGTAGCTCCCAGAGCTAAAGAAGTCCAGTAACAGATTCAATCCCAAATCCAATGTCTAGATGTACGATCACTGTGGCAACCTCACAAAATGTACAACACGGAAGTATGATTATAGACGAATATTCCAACAACGCTTCACCTGCCTGACACCGACTACAAAGACTGTTTTCTCACAGCGACGGTTGTGAAGCATTCATGCGTGCGACGACGGCGGATGAACTTTGTGGTTCCTAAAATAAGTACACAAAAGCTTTTATTTTCTAAACTGTGGGTAGGAAGGAAAGGGGAAATATCCTTATTTTGAAATGCTGCCAATATGTCACTGCGCATGGCTGTAATTACATTGGGATACGGTCTGATACATACGCCTCACTGTTAGTTACTATATTTGCATGTTGACTGCACTTCAGACGACTAATTTCGCGGTAAAGGAGTCGTCAATATTTTGGAAGCTGCACGGTGTTAGTTAGTTTGAATCTCCCCCATCCTCGCCCCTTCCAGAGAAGGGGATGAATTTTACCTGTCAACCATCTCCACCATCGGGTTATTCCAATAGATGCCCAGACAAAACCTTCAGGGGTCGGCAAAATTGTCGAACTTAAGAATAGACTACAATGGTTTAAACGCGCAACCAACAAACACACATGCAGTGATGAGATACACGTTGATCAGTTTTATTGTCTCTTTCAAAGTTTTTGATTTTGGGAAAGCTTCAAGCTTTACACAGGCTCCTGCGCGTTTACCAGCGCTGTGAAATTTGTGTCAGTTCCTCGATAGAAAATGGGACCCAAGCTCTGGCACTGAAGTTTTGTAAACTTCCATTGCTCCTGATCAGATATGCGAGTCCTAAATTCTTGTATTATGATATTGTTCATTAAAAAATTAAATATTTTGAAATGACCATGGAGGAACACGAATGCACGCGAGTTAATCCAGAGATCGGGAACACTTTGCAGCCAAGGATCGGATCCACAAACATAAAACTACAGAAAGTAGAACAGGCATTGTTCAAAGCATAATGCCCGTTGTTCAAAGCATGCAAACCCTGATGGAAATGCCAACGGCGATCGAATGGCTCTCATCACAAAACTGTGTGACTCGCTGGACCTAATGTGCTACAAAAGACACGAGCTAAGAAGTCGCTGAGAATTCATTAAGCCTGACCTGAATCACCAGTTTGCCAGTTTTTGTGGACAAGGACACAGACGCAGACGCAGAAAACAGTACAGACGCCCATAACTCGTCTGCTGTTCGGTGATAACCTCCCTCAACAATGCAAAGACATTCAATAGACGAATACCTCGTCTAGGTCAAAAATTTGGCAAGCGGGCAAGTTTTTTCACTAATCCAAAGCAAAGTCACTGAAAACAGCACTACAGACTGGGATGTAAAATCACCCCACCCATCAGGTCAGATTCGACAGGGTTATTTGAACTACTCGCGCCCGTGAACGTGGCAGAGAAAGAAACAGACAGATGGGCGACGGTCAGCTGTGACCAAGTAAACCCTAGCAACCTCAGGGTGAGTGAGCACCAATGTGATTTTTTATCGCTCAAAATTCAGTGGCAGATATGCCAATGCCTGTGGCACGTAGACTCGGTAACTTTGTCGCCAAATGGCGTGAAATTACGTTGGACCAATGGGTTCTGGACGCTGTCCAACACCACCTCATGGAATTTGCCACCCTCCCAGCGCAAGCGCATTTGCCAAAAGAAATATGCTTTTCGGAGCATGAATTTATGCATGATTACTAATGAGGTTGCGGAAATGCTGCAAAAGGGGGCTATTGTCCAAACATCTTACAGGAAAGTGGAATACCATTCAACTACTTCGGCCAAAGGACTACATAGCATCCATTGATCTAAAAGGTGCTTACTTTTTAGTCTCAATTGCCCAAGAGCACCGCAAATGCCTGCAATTCACCTGGCAAGACAAAGTTTACGAGTTTACCTGCCTCCCTTTTGGCTTAGCTTGTGCCCCCCCCCGGGTGTTCACAAAGGTCATGAAGCCTATGATAGCGTAACTGAGACAAATGGGTCACGGATCATGTGACTACATAGATGACTCGTTACTTGTAAGGCGAACGGACAAAGAATGCGCTGACAATGTGAAAGCCAGAACTACCCTTACTGAAAGTCTTGGGTTCTTAATCAACGCTGGTACTCGATTCTGTTTGTAGTCCAACAGGCTATAAACATCTCAAGTAAACTAGGTGCTATTTGATGCGACTTAGAATTCCCTAACTGAACGAAATGAAATGTAATTGAAGTGTAATTATAACTCTATCGATACATCACTAGCACGAAAGACTTACTTCCCCCCAGATTTCTGCCGACAAACGTAAAATTCCGATTCCCTCCTGCTGCTAATTCGCTGACTGCAAACAGTTGATGTCCCATATTTCAAATTTGAGTGCCCTGAAGGCGTACGTGCCGGGGCTCCGTTATGTAGCAATGCTCTCTTTGTTATTATAATAAGATCTCTCAATCGTGACGGCAGGATACCAGTGGCAGGTGCAATCTCAACTAAGTCCTTCAACTCGCGTGACGATGTCTCGGCGGAATTATACTTCCATTACATTCCATTTCATTTCGCTTAATTAGGGATTTTTTGTCAATGTTGCTTCTCATTCCAGCGAAGATGACAGCTTGAACGTTAGAATAAATTGACAAAAACTCCGCGGAAAAATTCATTGCGCGTCACATATTTTATTTAAATAAATTGGCTGGTGTAAGAAATGAATTAGTCATTGCCTGGTATTGTTAGCCCAGTCACATTATGCTTCCTTCGTCATTTTTGTCTAATAAGTAAGCATGGAGTCAGTTGATAAACCCTAGGTAGGCGCATATCACTAGCTATAGAAGGTATGCGTCAGTTAGGCAGTAAATGAGCAAGACAGAGCGTCACATAACGAATACAGGTTGTGTAGTTGTGCAGTTGCATGTTTGACAGCCAGTGCTTATAGTAAATATGGATTTCCTTGGTAATGAATCCATCGGGATGGTGAATGACAACGACACCTGCACTGAAGAAACACCGGTGTTTTGTTTCACCAGAACGGTAGCTATTTCCATCGTACTCGGTATTGTCTCCATAGTGACAATCGTAGGTAATATTTTTATAATTGTTGCTTACATCAAAGACAGACGCATCAGCTCTACCGTGGCCAATTCATTTATACTGAGTCTGTCTGTTTGCGATTTGATAGTCGGTGCTGTCTCACTACCCTTGAACTCAATATGGATCGTCCTGGGCTACTGGCCCTTCGGGAAGATCCCCTGTCAGATATGGCTCGCTCTGGACTACACCGTAGTCCATGTTGCCGTCTTTACGATCATTTTCATTAGCCTTGATCGATACTGGCTGCTGACCAAAAAACTCGCCTATGCTACCTTCCAGACGCACAAACGCGCAGCCAGCATGATTACTGCATCATGGCTTATCAACTTCCTGTTTTACTCTGCAGTTACTTTTCTGTGGGGTCCGTTGGCAGGCGGTGATAAAATCGATTATGACAGCAATTGTGAACTTGAATCTTTGGACAGTCTGTCCTTTCAGGCTATTGAAATAGTCTCCAAGTTTTTCATTCCGTTGCTGATCATAATCTACTTTAATGCTCGAGTATACATCAAGATCAAGCGCAGATCACAGGGTATATTTCAAAAGCCTCGACAGTCTCGCAAATTGTCGTCCGGAGGCCCAAGCGCCAGCACGAGAATTTGCGAGAGGAACAACACACAAGAGCAGTCGAGAGATGAACAACTGAGAAACGTTGAGTATGAGCATTGCCCATCCGAGAAAAAGCATGTATCGAGGCAAGAAGAGTGTCATACTAACACCGGGTTTGATGGGAAACTTGAAGACATAACCATCCGTCTTCAGTCATACCAAAGCCACATGCCGGCTGACACTGGATTTACCGACAATGCAGGAGGTGCAATAGCTGCCTTCAAGGAAACTAAGAAACGCGGCGGGACAACGAGGCGGAACAGTAGACCCGACCAAGTTCACAGAGGCACACGTAAAGAATTCAAGCGGCACAGGAAGGCAGCAGTGACACTGTCGGTTGTGGTAAGCGTCTTCATAGCAATGTGGTTGCCTTTTTACGTGGCGTCACTCCTTGCTGCCATATGCGAGGAATGTGTTTCTCATCTCGCCTGGATAGTAGTTAACTATCTGTTGTGGTGTAACTCGACTATCAATCCGTTTGTGTATGCGCTTCTCGTGGTGCAATTCCGCCAGAATTTTGTACGCTGTTTGGGACTGAGATCACGCAAGAAATGATCATAGATAACGGTTGTGTTGGCATTGCGAACTGTAAGTGAAAATCTGTCACTATAAATCTTAATCGAAATCTCTGAAAAATCAAAAATTCTTGTTCCACCAGTTCTACAAAGACTTACAAACATTGAATTTAGTACTCTTTAGATATCAAGGAAAATAAGCACTTTTGAAGATTGGAAAGCTTCAAATGTTCCTCAGCTGTACAAGTTTGATAAGGGACCGTTTAGATAACTAGTGGTTGATTCGGGAGAGATGTATTGGCCAGGTTTTGAGTGAACGGCGTCAGTATATCGATGACTTTTCGTGGTCGTAACTTCTCTACACTACGCAGTGCGCACTCACGTTGGTTTAGCAAACCGCAGTAGATGTGGAACGTTTTATCGGTGCAGATAACAACAGCATTGGACTTAAGTGAAAAATGGACAGCGAAAACCCAGCATGCTCGCCAATTGTCCAAAGTGAAATATATTAACCATTTGTTCCACAGTTTATGAACTTGCCATACATTTGAAATTAGAATTGATTTGTGTTTTGGGGAGTTTGGGGCATCTATTTTGACTGAAAATGGAAGATGTAATTTATGTGAGGTCAAACGTAATGGCGAGCAATCAACGAGCCCCTTACACACAAATAGACTGAATAGTCCAACGCACCAAAAGTAGTGGAACTTTCTTAACGTGCAAGAACAAATCCCGTGTAACATCTGTCCTTCCAGCTACAAGATAATAGAATCGAATAATGTGTGAAGTGGAGTTATACAGTGGTAAGGGAAGGTAGGCTGCTGGCAACTTAAGCATACTCTTGATTTTAACCATTTTCATTAATCCAGGAAAAGAATAAAACTATTCTTATTACATGACCAAACCACTTGTTTGTTTATTGTAAACAGGTGAAATTAATTACGATGATAAAACATATAGATATTAACTCATTGAAATTAATCCAAAAGTGGACCAATAGCCCCACATCTGGGACAAGTGGACCACTTCATAAAACCTTTAAACCTGCCACCAAAAGAGTAAAAAAAATGAATATTGGAATGAGTAAATTGATCATAAAACACTAAAATTGGCATTTGTAATTATCTCAGAAGCACCAGAGTTCAAATTAAAATAATAAGTAGAAAATTCTTGTGCCTTTCCTGCAGTCATATACTTTCTGGTCTTTGGAATGTTAAGCTACGTATTGAGTTTTTGATTTGGGCATTTTTATTATCCTAAATCATGATTTGAAGTTTATTTTTCAAGTTTACTTGTATTTTGCACATGGGCCTCAAACAATTATTCAGCTTAATCTCTGAAAAAATACAGTTGTTTAATCACAACTGGTCAGTTCAAAAGCTTTTAATTTAATTTGGTCTAAGAGTAAACCAGTTGCCATGATGACCCACTTGTCCCACCCTCCCCTACTGAGCAAAAAATATCAAATTCATATTTTTGAATTTTTTTTATTTAATGATATCCCCTTTCATTGCTGTAAATAATTTAAAATGATAAAAATTAAAGATTAAGCGGGTTTTTCAAAGAAAACATAAAATGGGAGAATTTAGTTTATCCATATTCGTCACATATTACTTAAATTATGTCTCGGCAATTTGTGTTACCTTGTACAATACAATGCATTTTTGTGTTTTAGTAACATGGGTGATAGATTAAGTATACTGCTATCTAGATAAAAGGATGTACACATCAGTCGTCAGTCAGTAGTCTTTAAGTGATTTTTCAAACATTCATATTCCTGAATGCCTTTCTTAATCAAATAAACAAAATTAACTCTTTACTTATTCACACTAGTAACACTAGGCCTATTGGTAAACGTGACTCTACTCAAGTGCATCCTAATTTTTTTCAATTAAATGGACAAAAATTGAACAAAAACCGATAGCTATTTGGTTAACGTTTTGATTATGTCAAGTTAGTTTTCGCTATTATTTATTTCATAAAAAAATAGAAAATATTTGTTAAACCGTAGAAAATCTCAACGGATCTTTATTCAAACTTTAATTCCAAAATTCGTTTAAATCTAATAATTCTCTGACCCTCAACTTAAGATATACGGAAAATCTTTGTCAACGATTCAAAGTTATTAAATAGGAGGGGGCGTTCTTAGGCTTGCCACGCGCGCATTTTAGAAGTCACAGAACCGATGGGGCCCGAGCTGGACCAAGAGAAGGCGCAATTTTAGTAGTAACAAGGTGGAAACTGCACTTCGCAGGTCTACGAACGTCTATAGAATGCATGCCTTTTGCGATCACGTCTCGGCCGACCTAAAGAACACTTCCGACCAAAATGGCTCTTATCAACCGATACGGGCTCCTCTGCTCAAGGTGGCTTGGTCGAGGAGGCATGTAACGTGCAAGTGTCACCTATCAATGAGTGTTAATTTGCTCATCCAGCTGCAGTAATGGCTTCTTACTCTAGCTTCTAAATTGATACAGTACAGGCAGTATGTGCAGTGACGTTCTTGCCTGTGGGTTTGTGCGCCTATTGCTAACCAAACAACAGCCTCCGTCTCATCTACCTTACCTTGACTACCAAGCTATACCGAGAATTTTAACATCTTAAAGACACATCGTCCTCTGAGACATGCGCAATGAGGTTATGAAGCAAATCAATTTTAAACCCCTCCATGAATAAATGCTTTAACTAAGGGAAGGACTTACCTTACATGATCGATGGTAACTACAAATAGTTGCAGATACTAATTTACAAGCTAAACTACAACACTTCAAACATCTTGTTTAATAGATAAGCACGAAACCTTGACTCAGCAATCATTAAAATGCATTTCTGAGGAATGTAGAAATCACACATCGCGCTGGATCACGGATGACGTTTGCAAGTCTGCAGATTACAGGAAGAGGCCTACAAAATATAATGCATAGAATAAATAGGAGTAAAGATCTACAACTTGATTAATTTTCCTTCAAGTTCTTTAGTCGGTTTCAGAACGTTATTGTCAGACAATAATAATTAGGCAGTCAAACATTGGCATTTTGATTGGAAAGATAGGAAGCCATGGACCAATATGTTGCACTTCAGAGGCACTTTACAAAATCTGTTATTGAAAATGTGTAAGTCTGGGTAATCATCAAAATTCTCTTCAAATTTCTCCTCTCTCAGGGAAAGATTTAAATACCAATTTAGAATGCCAACTGGACATTTATTTCCGTTTCTTGAGGAAGAAAGGGAAAACTATTTGCAGATTTTTAAACTTCTATAATTTTAAGTAAATCACCAACTGATGCAATTACATCATGTACAGTAAATTTCAACAATATGGAGCGCAGGAATAACTATTACCCCGTGGGAGTTCTTTGGAAAAAGATGAGTGTTTGATGATCGGCTGGAAATGACTTTTGCATATATTAAACAGAACGTAGCCATAAATACAAACTAAAGTCATCCACAACACGTGTAATCACAGGCAGTCCAAGATGATAAATTAATATCTTCAAGACAACCCCTCAAACTAAAAATAAACCCTAGACATAAAGACCAAAAGCAAGCGCATTGTACGAAAGGATTTCATTTCAGCTGAAAATCATACCACTTCCCCGATCCAGTTGTTGAGGTCGAATTTATACTGCGAAATGTCCCAGTCAAACCTCGACAATTCGTCCAGACTCTCTGGGGACAAGAGTTCTCCCGCTGTTGAAAAAGATGTAAAACTTCATTATTTAGTGTACTTTGAGTGTAATGGTGCATCGGAAAAACCTAAATGTGGTGCCTTTGTTCCTATCCAAAACACAAGCTAGAGGTAGATGTCAAATTGGTTGTGAAGGGTTTATGGTGTCTACGTCTGCTATTTTGATAATAATTTTCGTGATATTTCACAGGCAGAATAAGTGTGCATAAGTGAAGCCATGATTTTAGAAAGAAAATTGACTTCTCTTGTTAGGTCAAATACTTGACACTCTTGAGACCAGAGGCAGTGTTAGGCTATAACACTCCGTCAAAATTATTCCAAAGTCATTTTTCCTTTGCACACGCGTCCTTCATACACAAGAAACACCCAGAAATAAATCAGACTTACAGGAGTCATCCACGGTGATTGTGAAATTGATTGTCTTCGACTCGCCGGATTTCACTGCAAGGACCACAGAACAAGAACAGTTCGCATTTTCCGTGGACGATCCATTGATGTGTAAGACCAGAAACTCCCTGCCCGAACCTTCAGATCTGCTCTCGGTGTAAGGCAAATTGGCGCACGGAGGGCAACGAATTTCATTGTCCACGATAATAAGGTTGTCATTCTCCGCGGCTTCAGCCATTACGTACAGGTTCAGGGGGTGGTTGGGGACATTCAAGCGTCGAACGTGACTGGCCTGCCCACTTGGACAATTGTGGATGATGATTTTGTTGTCTCATAGAACAAGAAACGTACAAATGTGGTTTGTTATCAAAATGATTCGTTGCATAGAAGTTGATCAGGGTATGCACGTATCTGTGCTTCAGGGAAAGTTCGAATTCATTAGAAAACAAATGGTAAACTTTCTGAGGAAATCATCATTTATAGTCGTAATTGTCATTATCATGGTGCTGATTCAAAAGGAAGCTCACCATAGGGGAAACTTTTGCTTATTAGTTGACTTATCTATGCAAGCCATTCTGCTGACCTTTACCAGCCGTCCTTCAAATGCCGGATATCCTAAAAGCCTTTACTTGCCATCCTGCCATCTTGCCCTTCCTTCAAGCCTTAGCCAGCCAAACTCCAAGCTTTTCAAGGCAGTCTTTCAAACCTCTGCCCATAATCTTTGTGGTCTATCGAAGCTGGTCCTAAGTGCCCTACGCTGACCACCCATCCATTGAGCAACATTAAGCAATCTTGCAAACCTTTCAGAACCGGCCTGCCAGTCAACGTCTTTCTATGCTTCCTTCCACCTAACATCCACTATACCCTGTAAGCCTTTGCCAACCAGTCTGCCTGCTTCCTCTGCAGACCATACTTCTAGACTTTGACCGTCGTTTTATCAACTTCTCTGTCGAACCTGTCAGCCTTCAGGGGATGTTACCTTGGTTTGAAAGCATCCCACATAATTATTCAATTTGGCTCAAAAGCTATGCCCTGTCTGGAGAAAGAGCAAACATACTCACCAGGGCACGGGGGGCAGGTATTTTCCGAACCCTGCAATCTGCAAGGAAAATAAAGCACAAGTTCAACGTTTGTTTCAATTCTGGAATTCCTCTTTTATGAGGTTTGACTTTATGAAAATACATGAGTTGAAAAGATTATAACCTGCTCTTTTACATGACGTAGTGCTTGAGTTTGTGAAAACTACTTTTACACCTGCCATACCGATATTTTTTCGAGGATCCATTACATCATGAGAACTCTTGTAAATAAACTTCTCCGAAAGTAACCGCCCAAGTGTGAATATTCATATAAAAAATTCCAGATTTTTGAAATCTTCTTCGCCGGTTTCATTGCTCATGAATTATGCATTTTGCTTGACCTGGCTGCAAATGCCGGGCATGTGCACAACCGTACTTTGCTTTTTACAACGTCCGAAACAGCCGTGACGTACTTTGTGGACGACCCCTTATGGGTGAGAACCATCGCGTGAATTAACATTCCTTTCGTTTGCTTTACGTGCCCTGGCTGAAATGACGTCACGCTTCATTACTTTTTACTAATGTGCACTCGGGGAGCGTGGGACACCCTGTTCCCCCACAAGGCCCTCAAGTTCCCCCTCCCTCACAAACTTCACCTCAATTACTCCACTGGAACTCACCCTTTCCTCAAATGCAAACATCTTCCATTCTTCCAGCAGCAGTACGGATCTCCAACACAGCTTCCGCAGGTTGTATAGTCACTGCAATGTTGGAACGGAACTTTGTAAACACCTCGGTCGGTTCCAACGAACACGGCTTGATCAGCATCACTCTTCAGCATGGTCAAGACAGCGGTATGGTTCTGTGAAATATTGTGACAGGAAAACTTCGAGTTATCATTATTATATCTGTTCTTAACCCAGGGTTACCCATTCACCCGAAAGTGGTCCTTCATGCATAGGGCACTGAGAGCATCGTATAAACACATTGGTAAAACAAATAACAGGAAATGAAAATGATGTAGTTCAAAAAGTCAAAGAAAATTAAAAAAAAAAAAAAGATGTAAACGAAATGTACGGCAAAGTCAGTGTATAAAATCAAACAATGGAAACAGTATAAAAACATAAATTTAATTTAAATTCAGAAATATAGAAAAAAATAAAACAAAATCATTGAAATCCAATGACATGTATAGGCTTGCCAAATGTGTTTTTTCACAATCTCTTGAAAAGTGAAAGTGATGATGCAGACTTATTAGATTGATCCATGTTATTCCATACTGTCATGCCACTGAACCGTGGGCTATGTTTAAAGCACTCAATCTTATAATAGGGAACAACAAGTGAGTTGTTTGAGCTAGGGAAGTCTGGTGTAGTAACCATGGACTGGATTGGTTATACGCCTAGTTAAATTGAGGGTTGAACAAGGTAATGGGGTGCCAAGTCACGAGTGCTTTTATACATTAATACTGCCCTGTTGTATTTAAAGCGTTTATTGTGAACAACTTCAGTAATTTAACTCATGTATAGTTGGAGGTGTTTGGAAAATTGATCGTCTTTTGTGAAAGTAAGCTGGTAACTGGTTGGAAATGAGAATTGCTTACACCTGATAACTGAACAGGCTGAGGCGATGTTCGGGTTAAAACAATACATTATGTGAACTGCATCATCAGCATTTAATTCTACCAGAAGATAATCCAAAGGCTTACTAGTCCTCTTGTGTTTAAGCTAAGCTCCTCCGCGACTTGGGCTTCTGATCGGTCCTCGCTCAAATAAGTCTTTAGCACTGTTCCGTCCTCTGTCAAAAATCATCAAAGACAACAATGAAGATTAGATTAGGCGCATACTCCGAAGCGGGTCATCCTTATGACAACTTCACCCAGTAGCTAAAAGCTAAAAACTATTTTCATTAGCTGGCTCATTCTGTTATGGACAGAACAACGCTGAGTGATCAATTATAATTTCAATTAATTAGAACCTCTCAATTTTATTTTAAATTAAGGGACTCGCATGTCCTCACCTGTACCGATGAACATGACATCAATGTCGTTAATGACGTTTTCATCCACAACGATCTGTGTGAAACGTTCTCCATCTATCATGAGCAGAGGGTTGCTTCTAGCGCCACCTGGGCTCTCATAGTGAAGCTTGTTGGCAGCTGTATCAAACATAAGCTGCGCCCTACCAAGTATGGCTGAGTACTGGGCATCGGCATAACTGGTAGTATTTGGACACTGAATAACGGTTAAAAATGAAATAGGTGTTATAAAAATTGGGACATTCACAATGGCGTATCCAGCGGGGAAGGGGGCAACCTATTTATAAAGAATAGGTTAGTAGGAAAGAAAACACCTAACAGCAAGGATGTCGGGAACGCAAGTTGGACTTTTGATTTTTTTTCCCCCAACATCATATTAAATGAGCCAAATGCCGCATTCGCTTTTGAATCCCCAACACCAAAAGCTGGATACGCTGTCGAACATTCAAAAAACTATCACTTAATCCCAATTAATTTTTCTGAAGAAACCATGTTACAACTCAACTCTGCCATCTATGTATTATGTAAAACGGCAGAAAAAGGCGTCTATTCAGCCGAAGTATTAAGAACTGAAATGGACACAGTGATTGGTCACTGCGTGTCATGAGATCAGATATTTTCGTTGTTATCTATTATGTAAACGTTTTTATTATAATAGTGTTCCAGCTAGTATTCGTTTTGGAATAAGCCATCTTTGTGTAATTTCTTTTAATTTGATTACCTACTTTATTTTCTTTTTAATAATAATATTCTACGTATCTTAATGTTTAGCAGGGCACCAAAGTCATTTCTATGGAACGAATGTATAAAAAGCGATAAACCAAATTTTGTATAATCTTGTTGAAGTGATAAACAAAAATGTGATAAAAGAATATGGTAGGGAATAATACTCTCGCTTTACAATGTACATTGGACGTCGTGAAGAGAAAGCGCGGGAAAAGGATATACAAAATCACCAATTTATTGAAATGCCTTAGAATTGACATCTTCCCCCGAAAAAAATGACGACTGACGCCCTTGGCAGTATCCACCCCTGCTTTATTTTGATGTACTCCCTAATTACTCAGGCTTCTTAAATATTGAACAAAATGTAATAAAGAATCATGTATTTGAGGTCAACCTGAGCTGGTCTTGGAGTCACAGGATCTGTGTCCACTTCCCTCCAGAGTTCGCCATCACTAAACTGCGCCCTGAATTTACTCGTACTGAGAAACAGAGCCTCGATTTCATCCAACCGGTAGGCACAGACTGCGGAACCTGCCACTCCGGGCCTGTGATTATGTCAAAAAATTGAACAAGAAAAGACAAATGAAAATTACAAATAAAATGTCGAGCGAGTAATACATTGGCCTGAAGATATTACCTTGTCTGCCTTTTGAATATCACTATAGGGTTTGTTAAGGCTCAGTTTGTATGCACCGATGCATATTTTCGTCGACGACAGACGGATAATACTGTGGCAAAACAGGGTAGTTGTAGGGACTCGTTATACACGTCTGTTCAGTCCCCATCGGATTCGTAAGTGTGACGTCACTTCAGTTTAAACAACGCCCACTGCACATTCACTGCACATAGAGTTACATGCATTGATCACCGTTTACATGGAACCATGGAACCGGAAATTAACACGCAACTTCAGCGATTGTCTAA